AAATGTTTAGAAAGGGACATGTTTTCAGTTTAACACAGCTGCATGTGTATGTAGAAAGCTCATACGGAGGTTTTTAGAACTAACCTATAATGTTTCACTTCATTTGAATCTCTTGAGGAGCTTCTCAGCACATTAGGCTTACTGAAAGTAAAAGACAACTTTTTGCCAACCTTCTTTTAAATGGGATATGAAAAGTGTGCGTGTGTGTGTGTGTGTATATATGGTAGAGCATACATACTATACTTTTGAGGAGTTGTGTGTTTGTAAGCCGCAGGCGTGTCCACATTGTGCCACACGCACGCGGTCACGTGGCGATGCGCAGCAGGAGGCTTAATGGAGAGAATCAGCTTTCTTCTTGGATCAGTCAGGATGGTGGGTTTGGGTTGGAGGGGTGGGGATGCATAGACAGTGGATGTTTGTAGGTGAATTTGCTCCCAGAAGTCCCCCATAGGCAGTCGGTGGCGCAGACTGGAGGAAGGCTGCACATAGTGTTCCTAATATCGATCTTTTTAAAGAGACGGCAGTGCTCTGGTATAGAATTTGAATTCACTGAGGTGCGCTTTGTTTTCAGAATCAGAATCGGAATACTTTATTAATTCTGAAGGAAATTCGTTTTCTCCTGAGGAAAGATTTATGTACGAGCCGATTAAAGCGTTCGTACACCAGTGATAATCCGCGCGAATGGTTCTCGCCGTGCGACTCGCATCCCCCCAGTTCAGTGTTGTGGACTGACAATTCTTCTCTCTCCTTCTCTGTCATTTGTGTCGTGCGTGTAACTCTGTGTTCAGAAGCGGGAGGTAAAAAGTTGCGCAGCACTATCCAGAGGAGCACAGAGACAGGCCTGGCGGTGGAGATGAGAAGCAGGATGACTCGGCAGGCCAGCAGGGAGTCCACAGACGGAAGCATGAACAGCTACAGCTCCGAGGGAAAGTAAGGAGACATGCACTTGTGCTCTGCGGACGATCAGAAAGCTAATTCAGCAGCTTTTATATACACGAAAAATTCAGAATTTCATTTGGTAACTTATATCAGGTTCTAGTCTAACTATAAACACCTGGTATTTTTTTTTTCTTTGTTAATGTTTCAGTCTCATCTTCCCTGGTGTGAGGCTGTCCTCAGATGCCCAGTTCAGTGACTTCCTGGATGGTCTTGGCCCTGCTCAGCTGGTTGGGCGACAGACATTGGCTACTCCCCCTATGGGTGAGGACAGTTATCCTTTTTTTCCCTTTTTTTTTCCTTTTTTTTTTTTTTTACAGAGATTTGTAGCTTGAAATGATGAAAGCTTCACTTCAGACAAGTTAAAATCTTCGGTTTTGTTGGTTGTTTAGGAGACATCCAGATTGGCATGGTGGAGAAGAAAGGTGCACTGGAGGTGGAGGTCATCAGAGCCCGTGGCCTTGTGGGAAAACCAGGTTCCAAGGCACTGCCAGGTAATCAAAGCTACTAAATGTGCTAGTCTATGTCAGGTATTCACAGAGTGAATAAAGGTAAGCATGACTTGGTTGCGGAAAGAGAAAAGGAAACCTTTCAAAAGCTCATCTCTCCTTTACGCTTTCTTGATTTCCAGCACCGTATGTAAAGGTCTACCTTTTGGAAAACGGAGTCTGCATAGCCAAAAAGAAAACTAAAGTAGCAAGAAAAACCTTGGATCCTCTTTATCAGCAGCAACTGCCGTTTGAGGAGAGTCCAGGAGGGAAGGTTTTACAGGTAAGAATGTTATTCCTTTAGACTGCAACAAAGTGTCACAATTAGCATTTCTCCTTGCAGTCTGCTGGCCTCAATGCAAGGACACACAGCTGATACGGTTCTGCACATCAGATTGGCTTTTTCATATAAAAAGCTATATAAGTTGTATTGGGGTTCATCTGATTGTTGGGGTTTTCTCTGTATTATTGTATGGTCTTTACCTTACAATATAAAGCACCTTGAGGCAATTGTTGTTGTGATTTGGCGCTAAATAAATAAAACTGAATTGAATTTTGACCAAGACTGTTGACTTCATTTATCTTTCTAAACTTGCTCCGTCCTTTAAAGTTTTTTTCGTTCTTCTTTGCAGGTCATCGTATGGGGTGACTATGGACGTATGGACCATAAATCATTCATGGGAGCAGTTCAGATACTGTTAGATGAGCTGGACCTGTCCAACATGGTGATTGGCTGGTACAAGCTCTTTCCTCCTTCCTCACTGGTGGACCCTACTCTGGCCCCACTGACAAGAAGAGCTTCCCAATCCTCACTGGACAGTTTCTCTCGATCATAGCAGCGTGTGGACTGATAGCGTTGTTGTAGCAGCCAGTGTTGCGATTACAGGTCACGCCCCCCCGGTTACACTGCATGCTTGATGTTGTGTCTTCTGAGCCTGTTTCTAGGGGTGCAAACGTGATCCTGTGTTTTGAGCAAAAACGTCACGCACACTGTGCATGTGGCGAAGCGTATCGCGAGCGCCTGGTAGCAGGGATTGCCAGGTGTTGTTGTTGTTGTTTGGAGGAAGCCGGAATGAACTCCTTAGCACGAGGAATCCGTCTATTCCAGGTTTTCATCCAATTCGAAGCCATGGGGGTCAACACTGGGAACCTCTGAATGAGTTCTACAGAAGCCCTTTTCGAATGAAAAATCTGTGTGTTGCTTGATTTTATTTTTTTTCCTGTGTCGTTTTCATTTCTTTTATTTACTTTTTTCTTTAAATGTCAGTGTACTTGTCTCTGAAGGGGGTGACAGTGTTTCTAACCAGATGCTTGGTCACGCCACGCCAACAGACCTAGCCGTGTTGATGGAATTTTTGAGACCATCACTTTGGGTGAGGTGTGTCCCAGCTTGTAACCACACTCCCACAGACCCCAAAAAGAAAAAACCCTGCATACTCTACATATATCTACCCGTTCAACCCATATTGGTAAAGCACTGTAAAAGATTAATCAAATGCCACTTTAAAGTGGCTGCCCTCAACACCCCCTTCCCCCAAAAAATAAATAAATACAGTAACAATCCAAACTCCATGAAAAGATGTACAATCTTACCATATTTCTTTCTCTGTTGATATATTGTATGAAAATTAAATGAGATTTTTCTTTTCCCTTTTTTTAGTTTCTTTGCATGGACACAAATTTAGCTGAATAAAAAAAGAAAGAAGAAAATTATTTTCTTGAGGCTGTAACTTGCAAAAAAAAAAGATGAAAAATAAACAGAATCAGCCATTTTCAACAATTTATATTATTTTTAAAGAAAATTTTCACTAGTGCATGGTTTTCAAGGGGAGTGAATGCAACATCGTGACTGAAAAAAAAAGGACATTGTTTATCATTCTTTAGACCATTCATGAATCTGCATTTTGCAGACATGCAGAAAAGGGGAACTTAAGAATTATTTAACAGAAAATGTTTATGTGACAAAAAGTGATAATGAAAATAAATGTAAATGATCTATTTCATTGTAAAAGGCTAATGCCTTATAAAGACAAACATAATGTGCAAATTGTACATGTTTCTCTTTTTCTTCCTTTCCCAGGGTACTTCTCATCGTACTATTCATTGCTACCATTGTTCAGTCCCCTGACATCGTCCAGATTTTAGGACTGTTGGTTACTTTACAGTACTGTATCGTTTCACTATGTTTGTTTTCTTCCTTCTTTTGGATTTGGATTTGTTTAACAAGCATGTTGAAAAGGGTCTTTTGCAACATGGCTTGGGCACACCTTACAGTAACTCAGCATGTTTTGATAAAGATGATATTTGGAATTTTTGCAATTTCTTGTACAGTGCATGTCAACTTCATTACTTTTCTCCCTCACCTTAAATTGAGCTCTATGGCAAATTAGTTCTTGGTCTTCCTGGGCCATTTATTGAAGTTTTAACAGAACATTCCACCCCACCCGAAAGTCACATTTTCTTTCAGGTTTTTGAGGAAAAAAAAGAAGAAGAAAAAATATGACAAGGAAAATATTTTATATTTAATGGATGCTGGCGAAACAGTTGTGATTGCAAGTGTATTTTATTTCAGTATTGTTGACGAACATGCAAAAATAATCTGTACTGGTACAGCAAAGAGGTCTATACCGAATCAAGAGACGGCAAACATGCGCGACATGCGTGTTGCCATGGTTCAATTTTACATCACTGTTTGTGAAGATGAGCTAATCACAAGTTGAAATAATAAGGGATATTGCCACAGAATTTTTTTTTTCTTGTTTTAATGAAAATGAAATTACTTTACTATATTTTTGTTAGTTTTATTTAAAAGCCAAGACCAGTTTATTTTTTATTTTCTATTTTTAGTAATTAACAATACTTCTCGTGTCTGGGAAGTACATGAATCTTATAGTTGCAGTATGTCTGAATGAAACTGAATTGAGGCATTGTTCCTTTTCCACGTGAAGATAATGCATTTTAATGTCAGAGAAAAACCTTGTCGCTTTAACAAGCTACGGTATATATTTTCATTTTCATTGTACATACCTTTAGATGTCAGAATTTGAGTAAACAAGCTACCACAAGTAGACTGATAGATTCTTTTGGAAGAGGAAAAATGCCTCATGATGACAAAGACATGTTATTTATCCTTTTGAATGCCTTTTCATTTTCTCTTTTTGGTGCAATGTGTTAATGCCAAGGCTATGTCTTGGTTAAGTATGGTTGAGTACAGAGATTTATGTAAGTTATTTTTCAAATTAAAAATAAAAAAAATGATATTACACTGATGTCAAGAGTTGAGTGATGATCAAATTAACGCACACTCACACACACTACATCATCTTTTACATCAATGTGAATAAGTTGCTCTTTTCAGTTTTTTATAGACAGATTCTGATTTCATTTATTGACCTAACTGCACAATGTTGCCAGTTAGGTCACTTTTCTTCATGCAATAATGGTAAAGGAATGGTTCTAAATTTCAGTCCTTAGGATGGCTTGTTTTAGGTTTGTAGGTGTTTCCCCATTTCAAAACACCTGAATGAAGAGCTTGGAGAAGACATGTAAGGTACAAATGACAGAAATGTGATATCCACCTTTCATTTCTAAAGTTCCACACAGTGTAATGAGAAACATTTAGACACATAGAAACCCATGCAATCACACATGCATGCTATTGCACATAACCATGCATGAGCACAGACAAAGAAACACAAAAACACAGTTCTTTGTGATTTGTTGCCTGACGGTGGTTGTGGCTCACCTCCTCTACAACAACCCGAAGTAATTCATACAAATCAGTGACTGATTGGAAGGCTGGGGGTTCAATCCCTGGCTGCTCCAGTCTGAAGATCCTCGGGCAAGATACTAAACCCAAATTGCTCCCAGTGTGTTCATCAATGTGTGTGTGAATGTTAGACAGAGGGCACTTAGATGTAGAAGAGGAGTTTGCCCAAATATGTTTGTTAAATGGTGAATGTATTGTATAAAGTGATTTGAGTGCTTAAGTAGAGTAGAAAAACATTATCCATCCAGCCATCAAGTGGGACTGATTGGAGTCTTTGCCAGGCCGATTTTGGCCCCTTGGCCCTATGTTTGACACCCTAGATTTAAAGGTGTTTTTTTTTTTTTTTAAGTTTTGCCTTAAATGCTGTCCTCTCTGGCAGCTTTTGCAGTCAAAATAGCCAAACACACTTTGCTTTTCCAAAAACAGTTATAAAAAAATCTCTGTAGCCTCCTCTTATTCATGTGAGTCTTTTATCTGTTTATTTATTCATTTCTATCTGTGTTATTTCAGTTATTGCATTAAAAAAATAAAAAATAAACATACAGCACATGGAATAAAGAATTAGAAAATACACAGACACATGAATCAACAATCTTCTTGTAGTGTGAGTGTAAATGTGAGAGAGAGAGACTGTCTGTGTATGTGTCTTTGTCACAAACATTTCCTAATCTCTATTCAGAATCTGTAAGCACAGGAGTCTTTACACACTGCTCTTTTGACTTTGCATTTATTCAGTATTCTCGTTCATATGTGTAGTCAGATTATAGAGGTTGACGCCTCAAATCTGTTTTCTCTGCGTTGACTGCAGAATGTTCTTGGTGGTGGAGCGGATGCTGGTCACAAACAGTTCATTTCCTTTCTTTGTGAAATGGACTCCGTCTGGTACAAAGATTGTGTTGTCGAAAAATTTCAAACAGGGATGTTCAATAATCACCCCTCCAAAGCAGTGGGCAGCCTTTCTCATGGTATGGTTGACAATCTCCCTGTCCTTATTTATCTTCCATGGACTTCCATACCTCCACACTTGGCGCTGATTGATGCAGGAATAAGCAATCGTCATTGAGGGGAACTCTTTGTGCAGTTGCATCAATTCTGTCTTCATTATACCAGAAAGTTGCTGGGCAGACATGAGTCCTAAATCGTTGCCACCAGCGTGGATAATCAATATGTCAGGCGGGCTCCGTGTAGATAACTCTTCATAAAAACGTGGAAGGACGCCGCTCCAGCCCATCCCTCCTTTGCCAAACCATTGGACTTTGGCATTAAGTCCCAAATTCTCTCCAAACTTCTGTCTTGCTCCGAACTCTCCTCTTTTGATGTAGCTTGAGCCAACGATCCAAATGTTTCTAACTTTCTGGTCTTCTGGCCTCTTTTTCTCCATCACTTTGCTTTCAGAGGATCTGGCATCATTCTGGAAACTCGAGGCCGTATCATTCAATTTCTTGCCTTTGAGTCGGATCATCGTGATAGCGGCACTTTTTGGGATGCTTGGTGGTGTCACAGCTGATTCATTCTTGTCTGTGTCTTTCTTCATCCCTTTTCTTTCTGAAAAGCAGGCCTCAGTGATGCTTCTGCAGTTGGTTGAAATCTGACTGAAATTTCTTTTCAGTACAAATTTCTTTCCACAGATTCTGCGTTTTCCCCTTGCTGGGGAGGAGCTGTCAGCACTTCTGCTGCAATTTTGTGCAGCATCATGCTGGATTCGCTTTCTCTTTAGTGGGAGCTTGACAGGGTTTAAACCCAGCTGATCTTTCTCAGACACTGGCGACAGGTTTTGGCGCTGCATTCTTGTAAAAAGATGCTACACCACTTGGCTGGATCCAATAAATACAGCAACAGTTTTCCTGAAGCTTGTCAGTGTATTCACGATGTTTCTTCCCCAAAAAATTTTCAAAATGCGATATTTAGACACTTAAACAACGAGCTCGGATTTTTGTTGTGCACTCACGAAGGAAGGGCAGTGAAATGACCGAAGCCTCTGCTCTATATGGGTATTTCTGTTCCGTTGCGACGTGATACACCTAGTAACTCTCAGCAGGCAGACTGCAGCTCTTTCATTTAACAGACAAACATTCTGCACAGTGAAGATGTTTTTATTTGAATTTGTTTGTTTTTGGAGTTTATGGGATGTTTTAGAGAGAATTTTTGCTTTCCCATCAAAACAAATAAATTCATATGAATACGTTTAAAGTGCACTATACATGTAAACAGTGATTATTTACTCATATTGAGTTAACAGGCTTTTTTCCTCTCAAATATGTGATTATGGATGCTTATTTCATGTAATAACTAGACCATTTGCAGTGGCAAGTACATACATTTGATTTTATGTGACTGTGACAGAGTCTCATGTTGCAATGAATGAGTCCCAGTCAGTGTGCAGATACAGGGAATCCGTTTAGATGTAAATAAAACCAGTGTTTCTGTGTCAGGGGGCAGGGTCTGTGAGTTTGTTTAGTACTTTTGATTGTTATATTGAAATCATGTAAAGTTCTTGTGTTATTGTTTTAGTTAAGGTTTACTTGCGTTTTGATCTAGTTATGTTTCTTCTGTGTCTCCTTGCTTGTGTCTTTTGTGTGCCCCCTGTCTCCCCATGTATTTCATGTCTTCGTGTTGCATGTTCTATTTGTCAAGCTGGTGTTGTCTTGTCTACGTCCCTTTTCTCTTTCCTGTTTTATTGCAAAGAGTCTGGTGTTCCATGTTAAGTGTGTTTAGTTGTACTTCCCCTGTGGCGTTCAGGTTCATTTGTGTCAGCTGTTTTCTCCATTACCCTCCTGTGTATGTAAGTCCTCTTTCTCACTAATTCATTGTCGATTCATCTGTTTTCCTCCCTCCACGTCACGTCAGCTTTCTCATAATCCTGTTCAGGTCCATGTTTCTTGTTTTCTTGCATCTGCTCAGATTTATGTTCATGTTTCTCTTGTCATAGTTTTCATAGGTTTTAGTTTTACTTCTCGCACCTGTTCGCCTTGCTTTGTTTTTGTGTTCATGCTTTTTCAGCCAAATCAACGGCTCGCTTTTTGATTAAACTTCATTTCAGTCTCTCCCTTGTCTGCTTTTCGGGTCCACACCACAAACACACCGGCTGCTCTGTCGACAACTTACTTCGCTTAATGTTTCAATTCAACAGGTCTCTCCTTGACAGGGTTGTGCAAGTTTTTTTTTCCAATTAAACATAAAAAAAAGGCATCTATTATGTCTACTATGAAGGAAAATACCACAAGATAGACTTTCTGAAGTATTATTTTCTTTGTCTGAAAAATCGAAGCCTGTTCTAAAGGTAATTAGCTAAATACACTCGCTAAGTATTCAGGTCACGCTCACAAATCAGTGAAAATGTTTTCTTTTTATCACCTCTCTCTGAAGCAAACATTCAATGCTAGCCTCAGCGTGTGAATAAAGTACACAGAACTTAATGTGCTGACCGAGACAGTGCTGAAATTCTGATGTTAAGCATTACAACATTGAGGTTTTGCAGATCACATGACCACTAACCACTTAACGTTAAGTTGCCTGGCATTTTGGACATGTGACAAACATGATGACCTTATAGGGTCAAATGAATACAGTCACACGGACCTTCCAATTCTATTGAATATTAGGATTCTCTGAAATCACCTACTCCTGTAAAAGGGTATTTTATCATTGTTTCTGCAATATGAATATGTTACCCTAAATACACAAAATTATTGGTATTCAGTCCACTCACACATTCGTGCAATACCGCCTTGAAATTCTTAGTAAAGCATTAGATTTTTATGTGAAGAGGATATTTCAGTTGCACACACCCCACAGTCATAATTCAGCCTCTGTTTACTTCTGCTTGTGGTTGAAAAATAGGGATGACTACAAAATGACTAATGACAAAGGCAAGAGTCTTCCTGTTTCTGTCGTATTTAAGGCGACTGCGCTCTACATGAATCAGAAGAGCTGCTGAGCTTTATACATCAGGCTACTACTTCGCCTTTCTGTTCAGCACAAGTGTCTTTTTGGGAGCAGTAGTTACTGAATATATTGTATTTGTTAATGATTTTCTTATAACCTGCATTTTCAACGTCTACTTTAATATCCAGGATGCTTTTCTCATGGATTGCAGTAAAACAAAGCCTTAAGGATGTGGGTTTTCAAGCTGTGGATGTGTTCACCACTGGTAAAAGGGATGGATTCAGAAGAACAATCCTTCTCCTCCTCATCTGTAGCATCTCCAGCCTCCTGCTCAGCTCCCTGCTCCTCCTGTACCTCCTTTTCGCTCTGGACTATGAGCTAGCAGTGGCTGGGGGGATTGCCGCCTGCTTTGGGACACTGCTGACTGTTGCCCTCTTCCTATCAAAGAGAGTAAGGTGTTTAGGGACTCTTTTTGTTATATCCATTTTCATGAAAAAGAGTAGGAACTTGCTGTTAACTGCTGGAACCAGCTTAGTGGTTCTTAAGAACATCCGTAACACTCTGGAGAACCTCTCGCTGCTGGTCAGGAGTATGATTTGCAACCTGAAGGCAAAAAAAGCCTCCATCATTGCTCCATTTACTAACTATGTTCAGATGTTGAAGTGGATCGGAGACATGCTCAAAGGGGTTACAAACCTGGGAGTAGTGAGATTTGACTCCCAGCTCAACGTCTCTCCAAGATTGGAATCAGAAGAATTCAGGCAGAGGCTCGCAGGAGCAGAGCAGAAGCTCAACGAGACTGTTAAATATGCACAGGCCCTGATGAATACAGTGAGCTCAGTGACCGACAGGATGTTTCCTGCCATCAGCTTCCTGGTGCTCATGATGTTTATAGCATTGCACATAAAAAAATACTGCAGAGACATGAAATACAAAAACAGGTTCATCAGCAGCAAGTTTGTTCATTTTGACGAGAAGCAGAAGGCGGAAGGAAAATCCCACGTCCTTCCCCTCACGGCAGAGGAGGAGCAGCTGTACACCTTCATTCCCTCCGCCCGTCCCACAACAAGAGAAGGGAAAGCTATGGTGAAATTTGGAATTCCAGTTGTCTCCCATTTCATAGCTTGGGTCATATTCATAACTGTGGACGCCTTGCTGTACTGTTTTGTTGACATTGTTACAGCAAGGTTATCAGAGCTGGAGCCATTCCACATCCCTTTGTTAATGAGCATCAAAGTAAGTACACCGTAGTAAATATTTATTTATTTTTTAAATATTTTCCTCATCTCAACCACAAAAGACTCACTTGTTTATCCTTGCAGGGAATTGCAACTTTAATTGGAATGTCTCTTGGACAAGAAAATCATGAAAAAGACTTTTCCTACTCTGTGACTCTGTTTGAGAAGCAGTGCCTCCCCAAACCCAAGTTGTTGCTATATAGTTCTGTAATTCCACTGACTGCCATCCTGCTCACCCTGCTTGTTATGGCTCTGATGTCAACCAAAGTCTCCCAGCTAAGGTTGATGGTCTGTGAACAGTTCTTCCCCTCTGCTGCTGAGGAGAGAGTGGAGTACCTCCACGGCAAAATCCTGAGGAAGAGATTCAAAATGAGAAAGGAGAAAAACAACTGCAGCCTCAGGTCACTTATTACCAAGGTGCATGTTAACATATTGCTTGAGAATAACTATTGCAAGCCAAAAAAAAAAAGAAAAAAAAGCCAAATCTCTAATTATGTAGTTTTTCTCTTCTTCTTCATCAGCCATATTTCTGGTTTCCGCTACTGTTTCATTCTAAAGAGGATCCACAAAGTATCCTGTGAGGAAAATCTTCTCCACACAGACACTCTAGTGATGGCGGTGCTAGTCCTGGTGCAGACTGACAGATCAGCATGGATGGTGTGTGGATCTCGCGGAGAGAAATATCAGCCTTATACTTTAGTCTGTCAATGAGAACTTCTGAACCAAAGTCTCTATTTTTGCCTTGTGCGGTTAAACACTACAGTATATTGCAAACATTTTACATCAGGGCACCTACACCAAAGAGCACCTTCCACGTATGTCTGACATTCAACCGTGTTTGATAAAACATCATTATTTGGCACAATGAGAATGTATTGGTATCTTGCACCATGGTGGTGTGGAGGTCCAACAATATATATTTATTATAATAATTATATTATTAGTTTCCTTTTGTTTTTTAGAGGGAGACCATTCTACTTAAGCCCATTCTTTGCATAAAAAAGTAAATCTCTGTTATTCTTTTTTTTCCCTGTCCTGTCTGGCACTGTAGGACTTAGAATTATTGTCTGAAGGCCAAGAAAAATGCCCAGCAGATTTGTTTTCCCAAGTGGATCATTACGGCTTTACCATACTGGTCCACTTGACTGATCTTTATTTATTTATTTATTTATTTAAAGTTTTAAGTTATTACAGTCGGAACAGACATGTCCGGGGGATAAGAAAGGGAAAGATGCAGACAGGAGAAGTTCAAGAAAAGGAGAGAGAAAGATTAACAGAGGGGAAGAGGGACAGTGAGAAAAGACACTACACATCTGTTAAAAGAAGAAAACAAGCAGAACAAGAACAACCTCCCCACCAGCTGAAGAGGCCCCCAGTTCCATCAATGCACCAGAGGCCCCCCGCACCAGGGTTGGGCCTCCGTGCATGCACCCACCCACAACCTCGGTGACACACCAACCAGGACCCAAGCCCCAAAGGCCCAGCCAGAGCCCCAGCCCGGAGGCAGAGCACGCCCAGAACCCCAAGTCCACTCTGGACCCACCCAGAGTTCAGCTAGACTACCAGGTCGGTAACCTTCGTCCGCCAGCACAGACCCTCCTCCAGCCCTGCTGCAGGCAACCACCAGGAAAACACCACCCAAGAGCCACAGATCCCCATTCAGTTCAGTACCACAGCCCCCAGGTTGAGTCCCCGAAGAATCCCCAGACACCCCAAGCCTGTACCTACCCCTACATCAAGCGCAATAATGAAGGCGGGAAGACTAATATGATCTTTCAGACGGTCTCTATAATGGTTAGAATTAGGATTATTTTTATTTTTCCAGTTCATGAAGACAGTTATCTTGGCAATGCATACGTTGGTGAGAACCATGTGGGCTGTATTCATCTATGTAGTGACGTCATCCAAGATGCCCAACAAGTGGACTAGAGGGAAGGCTGGAATCAGTGGCGGTCCTAGCCTGTTTGGCGCCCTGGGCGAACACTCCCTCTGGCCGCCCCCCACCACGATGCCGCCCTGGGCAACCGCCCGTGTTGCCCGTATCAAAAACCGCTACTGGCTGGAATGTTACATTTCAGATACTTTGATAAGTCTTCACATATCCAGCATCTAACCCTCTGCACTGGTGGAAAGAACCAAACAGCGTAACTGTCAGGTTTATTGCCTTGACAGTGTGAGCAGTTGTTAGAAGACATAAAGCCCATCTTGAATATCCGTTGACCTGTATAGTGCACTCTGTGTAGTATTTTGTATTGTATTTTGGTCTAAGATGACTGATAATTCCCATTTTGCAAAAGGATATTGATTCATCTATTTTGGAGAGTGTCCAGTATATTTTAGACAGTAATTTGGGGTTTTAAGATTAAGAAATTGTACCACACATGATCGTGTTTGTAATTCAACTTGATTAGGCTTAAACTTTTTTTATTATAAATTTAATTTGTTGATATTCTAAAAATCTTTTCTTGTTAATCCCATACTGTACAACTAGTCTGTCAAATGGAATAAAGTCCTCCTTCTAATATATATTCCAAATATTTAATTCCTTTACGACTCCAATCTGGGAGGTTAATCATATTATTTTTCTGTAGTATGTCAGTTTTGTTCCAGATAGGTGTACATTCGCATGGGATTAATGAAGACTCATTCATTTTAAGAAACTCCCATCGTGCTGTCAGAGAAGAGCTGATGTCGACTCTTTTAAAACATACATGTAGTTTGGTGTTTGAGCTGATAAATGGTAGGTCCGAAATCTCTATATTATTGCATAGTGCCTGTTCTACATCTAGCCAGGGTGCATCTAAGAGCGATGTTTTAACCATCCCCAGTGTTGGTAAGGGTACTTTTGAAATGTCTTCCACTACAGATTACAGACTACATGCCCCAAAATGTAGTTTGTAACGTATTCCGTTAAGTTACTCTGAATACTTTGATTACTTACTATATTGTCATGCTTTTTACAACTACATGAATGTACTTTTGCTGTGTGATTTATTAATATTACTGAAGGCTACTCGCCATACCAAAACCACCTAGATTTTTAAATCCTAATATAAAATCAGTGCCAGTAGGGTGGACATTAGGTGAGGCTGCAAATTTTGCAACGATCTCATATAGAAAACTTTCAATGTATGTTATTTCAAAATACATCATAATACATTTCTCTTCAATTGTTTTATATTATATTTAACATTTAGCAGAATAAATATGTACTCTTTGCGCCCCAGTTCTCACCTGTAATCCACCACCTACTGTGTCATTATTATTCAGAAAACTAGAGCAGTATACTACTATTTATGGCATCATGTGACAGCTCAGTCTACTGGTAACCGTGGCGCAATTAAAGACCATAAGCTAAGAGGTATTACCTTGATTCAACAGAGCTGCAATGAGCTCTCAGCCATAGGAAATACATTACTTACCTATTACATCATGTTCATTATATAACATGACAGAGGAAGAATTTTATTATGAATCAACCCCAAACTATGATCATTTTGCCACTATCAGTTGTGATGGTTGCAGTCATTCCTGCTATGAATAAACACCTAATTATGTTTGTTACATAAAATATCAAATAAAGAAACCGCAGTTATAACCTCGCTTCTGCATTTTACCTCTGTGCAGAATGTAGAACAGCGATATTTGCTTACATAATCTAAGACAGATGTCATTTGCATGTGCAGAGAGCAGCACTGTGCTCTTCCTACTTATGCACTGTCACCGTTCATTAGCATCATGCAGGTGCTGTTTCTTCACTCAGCATAGGGACAGGTCACAGCCTACTGACTTCATAATGCAGACTGTGACAGGTGAGAAATGCAGTGATGTGTGAATGGGGAAAGGTCAAAACTGCTATTAATGTGTATTCCTCAGGGTAGTGTAGCCCAGGTAAATACTATTAGTTTTTTACTGTCTTATTGGTATATACACAGTTTTGAGAAATCCCTTAGGCTGTGTTTGTTCATTATGCATTAATATTTGCAAAAAAAACTTCCTTTATTTAACAGCTTATGACAGATGTTTTAAGTAGTAGAAATCCTATACTATACACTACATGCTCAGTATATTTACTATCATTTTGCGTACTTAAATACTTAGTGGTACACACACACTACATAGTAGTATGCTCAAATCATATCACTCAGCTGCAGTTGGAGAGGCGTCACCACTGGCTCAGCCTTGTAGGATTGAGGAAAGTCATGATTAATATATTTACTTAATATATAATTTCTGGCAAAGTGAGAACATATGCTTAGCGGCCACTACATTAGGTATACCTTGCAAAGATGCCCTTTTACCTTTAGAAATGCCTTCATTCCTCACGGCACAGACTCAACAAAGTGCTGGAAACATTCCACAGAGATTTTGCTCCATATTAACATGACAGGATCTTGCCGTTGCTTAAGATTTGTCAGCTGCACATCAGTGATGCAAAGCTTCGGTTCCACCACATCCCAAAGGTGCTCTTTTGGCCTGAGATCTGGTGACTATGCAGGCCATTTATGTACAGTGAACTCACTGTCATTTTCAAGACACCAGGTTGAGATTGTTCCAGCCTTGTGACATGGCACATATCAGGCTGGAACCAGCCATAAGAATGGTGTTACACTGTTATCCAACCAATAGCCATTTGGTTGTAACGAGTGGTTATTTGAGTAAGTCATTTGAAAGGTCTTTCTTCACTATTCTGATGCTCAGCTTGAAGTTCAGAATACTAGAATAATAGATACTTTGAGTTACTCCCATACTTTGGTTAGTTAAGTATACCTCTTCAACTGCAGGTTAAACATTTTCATTGCTGTTACAGTTAGCAAGACTAATTGATATCACCATGTTTGGCAAAACCTGATTCTTAGAAATACTGTGATCACTTAAAAAATACTTTGGGTTACACTAGTTAAAGTGTAAATATTTAGTATGAATCACTTCCTCTGTGTTTAAAGCTTGAAAACTCAAGTTATAGCCAGGTCACCATTTTAAATAGGCTCACCATTCACTGTACAATACCCCACCATCCCCCAACCATCCTTTGCACCGTTTAAGAAAAGAGGAAAGAAGCATTCTTGCTTGAGGATGAGTAGGCATTCTGTGACTCACACACTACCACTGACCCGTGTGGCAACCTGATAAGCTCACACTATGGCTCAACTGGCCCTGTGGCATAATAACATGCCAGCATGCCCGCCCCAATGGGAAGCTGCCACATGATGCTCGATGACAGCCGCAGACATTTTTTTACCACGAGAAGGAATGAATGCAGTCCATACATGGGCATAGATGGAGTGTATAATGATGTGTGAGCCTGCTGAATATGCAAACACAGAGTCCATCTGGGTCAGCGGAGTAAATCTTATTACCGCATGCATGTCAGTGTATTTTAATGAATATTTCATCAAAGGGAAGGGATGCTTTTGGGTGAGAGACAGTTCTGTTACCAGTGGCAACTGGGATTTTAGAAGATGGGGGTAAAAAATGCAAAAACATGCTGTGAAGAAGAAAACTCAGGCATAATTACACACAACTATAAATGCTGATTTACTATTGTTTTAGAGCACAGAACACAATATACAGTGAAATTGTTTTGGTTTTTTTTCTATTTAGAGACTCATGCATAAACCCAATTTGCATTTCTTATGGTGAGTTGCGTTATTACATAATGGTGTTAGTAATAAATGTATAGTTTGCAGCAGCAGAGTTGGTTTTTGTGATCTGTGTACTGAACAGAGCTGGCTGCAGATACAGCTGTATGTGACTCAGTTTCCTCTTCCAGCGGAGCATTGACTCAGGCAGAAATTCAACATGTTATAACCCTCATATGCTTGAAATGCAAAAAGCTACTCCAATGAAGGTTGTCTTTGAGAAAACACTTGTTGTTTGTGCAATGGGTAGCTTCTGTGTTGCATTGTTGGAGATTTAAGGTGCCCTTTAAGTTCCCAGGTATGTGTTCAGACAGAAATGACTTTGCCTTCATATGGCTTTCTGGTCACAGCTGTAGGTTTCCTCACCTGCAGGTCAAATACAAAGCAGACAGAAACATTAGGTCATCCTGTGTGTGGTACCTACTCCCAGTCTGGTTGCTTCAAGTTCATAATTCTGAATTAACTACGAAAAGTGTTTTACAGCTAAGCAGTCCTGCCAATGTATGTCCTCTGTGCAATTCATGATCTGCACTTGGAATAGACACAGGAAAATATCAGTTTTACCAAATATCAGAAGTAGACTGAGTCAAAATCACACCCCGGTGTCCTGAGTCTGTAGTCTGCTGTATAGTTCATCTTATTGAGATATACTTATTTGCAATATTCTGGGTAATTTAATCCAAATTTATATGCTTACAGCATATATGACGCTACAACCAGCATTCAGTTTGCTTACCTCAACTGACCATAAATAGTAAATAAAAGAGGGAACAGTTAGGCTAAAGGCTTTTACACACCAGATGTGTAAAAATGGTGTGAATATTTTGTGTGTTAAAGATATTTTTCAGACTCACCTATGAAAGCTATCGTGATACAGCCTGAACTCTTGGACCACACCCTGAAATTCTCCCTGATGCTGCCCTCTCACGAGAACTGGATGAACCCAGAATCTCTGTTTCAGGGCCAGCTAATCATCGCTTGATGTCAACTTGATTTTTTCGAGTGCATTTTTTCAAGAGCAAATTTTTTTGCAAAATCGCAACACTTTTGTATATGTATGTGTATGCACTACCCATTAAGTTCACATCCAAAAAATGTGGAACTTCAGTGACACTTCTGACGCTAAGACTTTACTAACCTGCTCCCGCTGCTTGATTCTTTTGTAAACAAACTCAGAAAATGGTTTTCTGTGGATGAACTGGCCATGTCCTGGTGACACCTTCAGCTGCCCATCCTCATACACCACTTTGCCTCTGGAGATGGTAATGACAGGTACCCCATGACACTCCATACCCTCAAAGATGTTGTAGTCCACAGCCTGGTGATGAGTCTTGGCTGATATTTTCCTACATAAAGATACATTGGCAGCTTTAAAAACAGTCAGTGGAGGCTTTTTACGAGCTAAACTCATTGGTCACGTGTAGCCTGCGTTAGATAATTGCTGGATGCTTTCTGAATACCAAAGAAAAGGATAAATCTATTGTGAAAACTTAATGCAGTCCATCCTCATCTGAAACTGATTGAATCAGGCCAAGATGTACTTGCAGTTTGTTCACTGTGCAGCAGTAATATAATGTATTATTCAAAACTTTTGCTCACGTGAGGCTCTTAAAGGCTCACTAAGCACATACACTAAGCTTCTTTCAGACAATAAAAAGGCACCTCAACATTTTCACTGCTGCCTATTACATTATTGTGGCATCTATCCAAAGGCTGCTGCGTGAGCACAGCCACATAATATTGCAGCATAGCCAGTATCCAGATATAAAAAAAGACTGTGCAAGCTGGAACCTGATGGGAAATATGAACAAAGAAACACAAGAGCGGCAACATTTTTCAGTTCTCAGCAAAATAAATTTAGCATAGCTGTGATGGAGTTTAGTAGCAGAAATTATTAAAGTAATTTAAATGGTGTACAATGACAATGCTGCTGTTAAATGTACACATGTCGAACTTTGAAACAGATGGCCTACAGCAGCAGAAGACCATATTGGGTGCCGCGCCTGTGAGCTTAGGACAGGAAACTGGGGCTTTAGTTCACACGGGCTTGCCAGGTTTGATTTATAAAGAAATGATAGAATTTCTTCGTTTCTTAGGTTTTAGTTTCTGGATTTCTTTTTTCATTGACCCTTTTTACTCTCCATTCACAAACATGTTTCCTGTGGATTTGTGAAGCCAGACACCATGCCTAGTGTGCACTGACGAAAACAAGATGTGTCCTCATTATTCAGCTCACCCAATTATGAGGAACAAGTCAACTGAGTGAGCTTCCTAGGGATTTGGGTTTTTTTGTGGGGGGGAGGCGGTTATGCAACTGTTTGTGGCCCCTGGTCCCGGATGTTATGAAGTGACACTTGTGCTGACGGCAAATTAATTACACAGTTTCACAGATGAATTCACTGTGCAGCAATCAAATACAATGCGCTCTCATGCTTGAAAGGCATTATGACTTCCACAGACATGCGCATATGGTAAAGACACAACTTAAATGGACAGCATAGTAAACAGCTGATGTCCAGGAGTGACAGGTCTGAGAGGAAAGACAAACTGGAAAGCAACTCATAGTAACAGCTGTGGAGTTTATTGGTCCTGACATAATCTTTTTTTGTTGTTTTTGTATTATTATCAGTAAATTCATTTACAGAAAATTACACTGGGGTTTAATATGCTCTTCATCAACTCACATCCACAGTGGGTTAGATCCCTGAGGGACGCAGCCCAGATCCTTCAGCAAACAGAGCGGTGCATTGCTATTTCCAGGTCATATAAGATTGTGCTACAGTACACATGATGCTGGAACGCAAACTGTCTTCGTTTGTGCTTGTGCTTCACACAACAGCTCAAATAATACAACACAATCACATGACCAGTTTTGCGATATTCTGAGCACATTCCTGAAAGCAGCCATAACGCCGTGTATTCTGCACGAAGGAAATTTGTTTAGCTCCCACATGAAATATTCGTCAGTTTCAAAATTCTCACCATGATCCATCAGCATCGTCTCACTCATGCCTTATGTAAGTGTGTTAAAATCTTTTCCTAAAAATATAAAATTACCAAACATAGCAATTTCAAATTTTTTTAATGGAGTGATGAATTTCATTCATATGTAAATTGTGTTATGCTTTAATTTGCAGCTATAGATAAGTGATGACATACACCGACTTTTGGATGGAGCATAGACGTAATCAGCTTATGTGGAGGGTTAGTGAGTGCGTTAGTGTTGACGTGGCACAGGATGAAAGATATAGCTCTTCTCTTTTTAGGTGCCTGTATCTGTCGCCTACATGCTTTACAGCTAAACTTAAAAACCTTATCTTAGTTAGTGAAGTGCCTGGCACCCTTAAGACACGCTCTCAAGTGTGCCAAATGGTTCAGCATCACCGTGTGATGGAGCTCTGATGGAGACAGTGGCGATGTTACCATTTTTAACATCAGGATTTGCATTCATCATGCACTTTTAAAACTTTACGTACACCAGCTGAAGGCTTTCTTTCACTGCTCGATTTCTAAAGATTTCTTCCACACTGCTGAATGACCTGAGCTGGAGTTCTCACCTGGTCATCCTTGGGTCCCATATAACCACATCAGCATCCGAGTTCTTGGCGATTCGGCCTTTCTGCGGGTAGAAGTTGAAGATTTTTGCTGCGTTGCTGCTGGTGACAGCCACAAATCGATTCTCGTCCATTTTGCCACTATGCTGAGGGGAGAAGAAAATGCACAAAGCACCCAGTTTGAGTTAGGGGGCCACACTGGATGACAACAATACACAGAATTAGCAGACAAAAGGTCAGTGCAAGCAACTCATTTCTGCCAAAATATCATCTAATGTGTGATTTGTAAGCACTGTTGCACAAAGTAAATCTTTCCAGTGGCCTTGGGGCAGCTGAGCTGATACACAGTCCCCACAACAATGGCCAGAAAATGCAGTGCTTGCAATCATGCAGCCATCTGCAGCTCTGGGAGTTTATTGTGTGTTGCAGGAAAAAAGAAATACACATATCATCCAAATAATTGTGAGAAAAGTAGAATTATTCATATTTGATAGTAAAAACAGTAACCCAACATTAAACATCATGGCACGCCGTCATGAATGCAAATGGGCCGGTACAGAGTCAAAAATGTGTATTTGCTACTTTTTGTTATGCGAACATTAACCACATGGCATCTTTAAAACTTGTTGTCAAGAAACCGGTGCTTTAAAAAAAGACAACTAAAAAGGTGAGTATATCCTTAGTACTAACCACTCCTTTTTCCCAGATGACAGACATTCTGTCCTCGACGCCGTTCACACCGTTAGGGATCTTGGTGAAGTCGTCCTTGCCCAGGGCTTTCTGGCACACAGAGAAGGTGCAGTTGTCCGTCCCTGTCACGCTTAGATCATCACTGGCACAATGAACAGAAGGAAAATGATTGTTATGTCCAAACTGATGATGGAATAACCTAAAAAATGTATCAGTAACCTTGAGGGTCACTTTGGTCAATTCTAAATCCTCACTCCCAAAAAAGTTGCGACAGCATGTCAAATTATCAAATCTTATAAACCTTCATTTTATTCACAATAGAATATAGAAAGCTCATCAATTTCTTAAACTGAGACATTTTTACTATTTCATGGAAAATCTTAGTTCATTTTGAGCTAATTTGGAGCTAACGTATTTTGCAACTAATTAAGTTAATTGACAAAAGTCAATAATGAGACTGGGTATAGAAAGAGCATCTTAGAGAGGCTGAGTTTCTCATTAGTAAAGATGGGCAGAGGTTCACCAATCTGAAAAAAAAAAAACTGTACGAATTGTGGAACAATTTGTGAATAATTTTCCTTAACATAACATTGCTAAAGCTTTGAATATTTCATCATCTACAGAAAAAAATATAACTAAAAGATTCTGAGAATCTGGAGAAATCTCAGTGCACAATCGATAAGGCTCAAAATGAATATTAGTTGTCCCTGATCTACAGGCCTTCAGACTGAATGATTCAGTCATAGGAATAGCTGCACAGCCTCAGAAACACTTCCAGAAATCACTGTTGTTAACACAGTCTGTGATACCATTCAAAATTGCAAGTGAAAGTTCTGTCATGCAAAGATGTCATATGTGAACATGATCCTAAAATGCTAAAATCCCCACTTTCTTTAAATCCAACAGACGTGGTATTCAATGTTTGTGCTGCAAAAATGGCTCTTTGTGCCTCTATCATTTTAAAGATATTAATAAAAGTTTCTCAAAGGTCAATGTGGTTGACCTTGGATGAACAATTTGACCAAACAATTTTTGGGCTATTTTTATCACATGGAACAATGACAGATACAAACTATGTATTTTTCAAGCTGTTTAGGGTTTGGTGCTCCAACCTGAGGCCTGCTGGACCTAACTCGTCAACAGAACCTCTGATTCAGGTCCAACTAATACGCACCAAGTGGCATGCTTTTAAATTTCTTCAGAAATGTTCTTTTATTAATATTTTCAAAATGATAGCAGCACAAACAAAAACTGTAGCAGCAAAAAAACAGCAAAAACATAGTACAATTGATCCAGATACATTTTGTCTGATTTGGATAAATCTGTATTAGCTGATTCTGCGTGGGATCACATGGGATTCTGAACTTCTAAACTCCCATAGCCTAAAAAAATCTGTAGCTGTAGCCAAAATACGAACCGAACTGAATTTTAATTCAACTCAGTTTCATTTATATAGCACCAAATCCCAACAACAGTTGCTTCAAGGCACTTTAAATAAGTAAAGACCCTACAACAATAGAAAAAGAATTCCAACCATCAGACTGTACCCTATGAGAAACCACTTGGTGAAGGTGGGAAGGAAAAACTCCCTTTTAACAGGAATAAACCTCCAGCAAAACCAGGCCCAGGGAGGGGCAGCCATCTGTCACGACTGGTTGGGGGTGCGGGGAGAGAGACAGGAAAAAACACACACTGCACTGAATAAAAACCACCAGCAAGCAATATTGCTGGACTTTCAGTTCTACCTACTTAGCTAGTAGGTCCATAAGGTACCCAGGTGTGCTGGGGTCAGGTCTAAGCGGAGGACCCATGACAAAACCAGCAGCATGGGCCCAGTCTTTGTGCCAACAGTGGGTACCATCAGTGCCCAAACCAGCTGCAATTGGCTCCCCAAACACTACACGCCCTGTTCAGAAAGAAAGAAAGAAAAAACCTGTGTCGGATGTTTACTAAAACCGAGTATACTTTATCTGCTCGAGAGCAATCAGAAACCTCATGCTGAGATAAAATTCTCAGTGGCTTTATTTTTTGCCATGGCAACAAAAAACAAAATGTGCAAACACTGTATAACTCAATATTTGACTAAAACATAAAACAAAGAAAACTGAAACCAGTTTTGAAGCTCATCAGCTCTCAGCCTCACCCTCTTTAAACAGCAGGAGGGAGGAGTCCACACTCACCATCTCTGCGTGCGTTAGACACAACCTTGGCGGCAGATTTACTCATGACATGAACCACATAGAGCGGGCAGTTGACAGCATGGGCGATGGTGATAGCTCGCTGGGTGGCTTCGGCCTCCACGTCTTCTGGCCGACACAGTTCATGGCCTTCTGGTCCTGTGATGCCCATGGACAGCATCCTCTTAGCCCCCTGTCAGTTCACAGCAGGGACAACAAGTCAGGATTAAAGGTTATAGGAGATGGAAGGTTAACACGGCACGGTGGCACTTCAAGGCAGAGACGGACTGACCAGACAGTCAGATTTATACTTGATGAATCTATATTGATTCGATTGAATTAAAATTTGCTACTATGAATAACAACATGTGAGTGCCTTACTGTAGTGCTGGAAAGACATTTAACACACTTCCAAGCAGCAATAATACAGTATTCATGTTGCTCTGAGCAACAACAGATCCACGAGTTGTTGTTGAGTATTTGCTACCCCCTGGTGGTAGTTTTTTGCCATGACACTTGAAAAAATGCTGGGAAATGCACATAAGAAATAACAGCTCTTTCTCATAGTGGGGATTTTGACTGTCTGAATGTAGCTGCAGTTCTGTCTAATATTATTGGAAATTACCTCGTTAATTTCCAATTCATGTCAATTCAGTGAGCCACCATGACTATTCCTATCCCTCTGAAACTTGAACACCTTAACTGGATATATGCTATTAATTATACCTATGCTTATCCTGACATAACTTGTCAAAATATCTGTGGGGAAGGTTTCTGGTGACAGATAATGACAGATTTCATCTTTTTTCCTTGGCATTGCTCCAACATCGCGTGTCACGGGGCTTTCAACCAACCTTCTTCATCTTCTTCTTTCAGGGGTAACAGCGGACCATCTGCCTCCATCCCAACATATCCCTATCCTCTTCTGTCAAATCAGTCCTCTGAATGCTTCCTTTACTACACCCATAAACCTCCTCTGAGGTCTTCCTCTTTCCCTCCTGCCTGGTAGCTCCACAAAGTTCCAGTATATCCACTATCCCTCCTCAGCGTGTGTCCAAACCATCTCAGACCTGTCTCTCTATCTTTGTCTCCAAACTGCTCAACCTGAGCTGTCCCTCTGATGTACTCGTTTCTAATCTTGTCCTTTCGGGTCACTGCCAATGAAAATCTTCAGCCCTGCACACCTCCGGCTCAACCTCGTGTCTTTTTGTTAGCTTTACCTTCTTCAAACCATAAATCATAGCAGGTCTCACTACCATCTTGTAAACCTTCCCTTTCACTCATGCTTCTGTCCTTCTGTCATAAATGATCACTGACATTAGTCTTAATCCAGCCTCGACTCTCTTCCATACTTCTCGTGCCATTGCTTTGAATCGCTGACCATCCATAGACTCATCTTGTCTTCACTACCACTACTCCTTGGATGTTCACCTTTCCACCTGTCTCCCTCTCATTCGCACAAATTTAATGTGTGTTGCTTCTACTAACTTTTAATACTTTTCCAGAACATACCTACTGCATGCTCACTATAGATCACAATGTTGTGTGCAAACATCATAGTCTAGACATAGACTCCTGGCTGACCTCATCTGTCAGTCTATCCATCACCACTGCAAACAAGAAGGGGCTCAGAGCCCATCCCTGACGTAATCCCACTGCCACCTTGAACCCTTCTGTCACTGCGCTTCTCACCACTATTCCCTGTCCTCATACATGTCCTGCACAACTCTCACATGCTTCTCTGCCGCTCCTGTCTTCCTCATTCAGCACCACAGTTCCTCTCTGTTCCTCACAGCCACAGTGTTTGTTATTCTTTGGACACAAAGTGAAGCTTAGCTGCCATCAGGGTGAAACATTAACTTAGCATTCCTTGTGGGCTCTGGTGTGTTTATACTCTGACACTGACTACCTGAGCTGCACTTACAAAACCTTCACTGACAGAAAATCAAAAACAGCATATAGGCTTGTGTTGTTTAGCTTTAGTATCTCACCACGCTTAGGTTGTTTCATTTCTCAAGTTAAACTCTTGATATTTTACAAAAAATAACCATATTGCTTAAGTTTGGAATGTCAAATATCAGCTCTACTTTACTATTAGCAACTTTTTCCCCCCTGTACAGTATAGGCAATAAGTAGCTGTAAGAAAAAAACAAAAATTGTAGCTCATTAATACAAGCAACTTCTTTTTCAAAATCTGTTTTCATTTGTTTCGTGTGGTTCACACCAACCTCTGCAATCAAATCTCCATTCTCAGCATGAACCTGAGCTATGGCTCCGACCTCCTTACACTGAGCAAAAGCAGCATATAGCTCAGAATCCTGCAGCATAAACACATCTTTATAGGCCATAAACATCTTGAAGGAATTTACTCCTTTCTCTCTGGCCAGAGTCTCCATCTCTTTCTTGACCTAAAAAAGAAAAATGATTGTAATAAGGGAGACATAATGGAGCTCTGGGGAAAAGGGGGCAGCAATATTTGGACTGGGCAAACCTACTTGACCTAGTGTCATTAGTTTTAGTGTCTAGACAGTAAATACTAGTAGTGTACTAAAACAAAAGGATTCACTCTCATTCACCTTGTCACTCCACCATGTGACCGCAACGTGCAACGAGTAGTCGCAGCAAACTTTGGGATCAGCCGTCTCACGCCATCGGTCATGAGCCTCCAGAAGAGACTTGCCCTTCTGGGGGATGACAAAGTCCAGGATCATTGTGGTCCCTCCTGCCAGAGCAGCCTGGTGAAATGCACACATTACCACAGAGAAGTAAGCAAATGATTAACCTGTGAAGTAGAAAATGCTGGGAAAAAAGTGATTTGAGTGTGGCTACTAGTCCAGATGTTAAAAACAATCATCTTTGTGAATGGTGCCTGAACAAACAATGATTGACAGATTTCTTATTATCACTCCCATTAAAATAACACCTGATACAAATGTTGAGAAGTCGTGGGCATCAGCTTTACAATGACCTCTGATCTGATTTTGTCCTGCAGATTAATTCTTTGCAGGATCAAGAAGATTTGGAGCCACATAAATGAAACTGAATCAAACTGCATTGAGAAGAAGGCTAACTCTGACAACAGAGTTACCCCCACAGTTAAGAAAAACAATTTCCCAACATCTAACCAACGTCTCGAGGAGGTAGATATATCAGTGTCAAAGAATACAATCAAGAGAGGAATGGAGACATGATGGGAAGAGAAAACTGTGGAGAAGGAGAGAAAGGGGATGTTCTTCAGTGGCTAAATCAGTCACCTGATATCAACCCAACAGAGCATACTTTTCAGTTATTAAACACAAAACTGAAGGTAGAGAGAGACACACAAACAACCAAACTTGACTGCAGTAAAGGCCTGGCAGAGCATCTCAAGAGAGGAAACACAGCATTCAGTGATTTCCACAGCTCCTAGACTTCAGGCAGTCACTGACTTAAGGATTTTCATCCAAGTATTCAAAACAACTTAATATATGAAATTATTTTTGTTTGTCCAGTTATTTTTGAGCTTTTAAAAGTGTCTGTCTATGTATTTTCCTTCCCAAAAAATTATGCAATATTTTGCTTAAATTCCCTGAATTAAAGCTGTTGTCAAATACTTATGAAGCAAAACTGCATACTGATGCTATTTTAAGACAGAGGTGATTCTCAAGTCGCTGTAGTGTTTTATTCATATTTTATCCAATATTCATTTGATTCTACTCTCAAATTCCAAATTCAGCTTTTGATTAAAAAAGAAAAATAGGACTTGCATCCATCGCATGCACTTCCACTTCCACTCATAATAGGTGAAGGTGATTACTCTTACTACCAGCTTTTTTGATTTGCTAAACATAGCCAAACATATCTTGCCAAGCAACATGAAATTAATATGACAGATTCTAAATTTTAAATGAAACTCTACTTTGGTTCCAATATGGAAGTCGTCCACAGCTCTGGTTCCCATGAACGCCAGTTCCATGTGCGTGTGCGTGTCGATGCCACCGGGGATCACCAGTTTATCGGTGGCATCAATGACTCGCACTCTTTTTGGAATCTGAAGATTCAGTCCAACCTCAACTATTTTCCCATTTTCGATGTAAACGTCGCCGATCACGGAGCAGTCCTCGTTCACAACTTTGCCTCCTTTAATCAGGATCCCGCTGGGCTCTTCCATTCCTGCTCCGCGCAACTCAGAGTGTTAGGAGTGCGTAAGGACACAATTTGCGCAAACTGAACCGATCTCTGCGCTCTGACGCTGATCCGTCTGTGTGCAGTGGAACCCAGAAGCTGTGCCAAAGAAGCTACGCAGGTCAACTCCAAAGTTCATGTGAGATATCAAAGGACAGAAACGCCCCAGGTCAGTAACCCAAAAAGATTTGGCCTTCCTAATAATGATTTACACTAACTCGGTATGCATAAGAATGTGGAGAATATCATAGAAGTCTTGGATGGACTGACTCACTGTGAGCCAAAACTGAGCCGATGTCTTTAATAACTAATAAATAAGTAACTGTTCCATATGTAAAATATTGAAATGTGTAGCATAAATTTTCTCATAGTGAAAAGCTGCGAAAATCACTAAAACGGTTATTTTTTCTGAATTGTTATTAATCAGTTCAGTTTAATCAATTTTGTGTCAGTAAACGTAATTAAATCATACGTTCAGTTCACAGATTAATTTCCTTTTGCTTGCAGAAATAATGAAACTGTAAGGCACAGTCTCAGGGGCCCTCAGGAAGGAAATCTAGCTGCACTATGAATATGATATTGTATATCAGTTATTTCCAGTAACGGAATACTGTTGTTGCCTTGCACTCATGAAGACGTTATAAATTGATATAATACTTATCTAAACTCTATATTTGCAGAAAAAGCCCTGCATAGAAACATATGAGATGATTTAGACCATTGTATTTTAACTTTCACAGTCAAAATTTACTGAGTATTTGGGTAGAAATTTGGAATTCGTCACTATGATAGTCCTTTTATATTAGGATTCTATGTATCTATGAAACCTTTTCAGATATTAAACCTAAAGTTTGATTTCGAAAGCCAAAAATCTGCTTTATTTCCATCTCCTCACTAATTTATAACTACAGTTGATTCAGAAACAGAAAAGGAAAACAGATTCCTCTAGTAGGAACAAATTCTAGAGTAACGTTTCATCAAATCACCAAACACACTGTGGTCACTGACATTATAGTGCTTTAAAAAAATATATGTTTCAAGGTATCATGGGGAAAAGTGTACTTTTTGTGGTTCCATTATCTCAGAGATCAATGCCCTTTACATCGCACACATTACTATTGCCAAAATTTTCCAAGATACTCAAGCAGCTGAATAGAAATATTAGTTACCTCATATTGTGAGATGTGTATGAGTGGCGTCTTTTTCTAGAAAGATCCCGTGTAAAGCAACGGCACTGTTTACTTAGACATAGTAGATGTACAATCTCAAGTCTTTGCACTGGACTTTTTTTTTTTTACAAAACATTCCTGAACATGAAAATATTATTTTAGTGTTTAGTGTTTGTAGTTTTGTGTTATACTGTACAAGCTTCCTTTAAGCAAACAAAAAGCAAACCCATGAAAACCTAATTAACGATGTTTGTTTCCCTGACACAATATTCAAGGGAAATGTAGTTTTAAAGCAGTTGTGGACTACAAACATGGAGTTTAAGGATCTGAGAAACATACAGAGAATTCAAAACAAATATACAACAAAAATGTATAAATATTATCATGTCTTATAATACCACAGTTTGTAAATATGAATACATATTTTTTTAAAAATAACACCGCATTATAAAAGATCATATATCAAGAAATGTTGAACAATCCACTGGCAAAAGTTCATTTTTCACTTCCTGCTACCAGAAAAAGAGACTTCAGCTTCAGTAATAAAAGCAAGTATGTCACCTCTGTTTCTAGATAACTGTTTGAAGGCACACATTTTGACTTGTGGAAACAGTGGCAGCAACACATATATTAAATCAGTATTAGTGGAACACCTGAAGAGCATATCCTTTGGAAGAGCGTGGTCATTTGCTAAGAAAGCCTTTGACTTCCACCACCAATAAATAAACACATCTGTTGGAACTGTTTATATTTAATATAAAGGAAAAAAAACCCCAAACACAGCAGGCTGCTGATAATGCCGTGATATCCCTAGAGCATGCAACTGCCTCTCTTTCATGAAGAGTTGTTAGCCACCGGGAGAGATTAGTATTTTACTGCAGTGGATTGGTTGTCTTCGCCGCATCAGTCCAGACAACTTTTTCCCATCCATTAGTGTATTACGAAAACAAGACACATCGGAGAGACAAAGATGCATGCACTGGCGAGATAAGAGCACGCACAAGGCTTAGGAACACCTAACCTTCACAGTTGCAATAAACAATAACATGTGACTTAAGAGGATTTACATAAGATGAGAGGAGTAATCAGAGGGAGTGAAAAAGCAATGAGGCAGCAATGGCATCTCCTCAAAAGTCTCTGTGTTGCTGAATGCGGGAAGTTGCCATTCTGCTGGATTTAGAGCAAGGCTGTTGTTATCATTTTATTTCCTCCACCGGCACTACAAACCAACACAGATGTCACTTTCTTTTATGACTGAATTGAAATTCAGCGAGCGCGGCTTTGAGTGTTGACATGGTAAAAACTCTGGCATTAGAAGGGCATAGCATGCACAAAAAAGTGACATAAGATAATGCTCAGGCAGATTATCAGTGCTCTCTGCTCAGGCAGCGAGAGGCTTGTTTACTGCGTTTGTAGCACAAATCCACATATCACATTGCAGCTACAGCAAATGTGCGTTAAAGATACTACAGATGTGAGGAAGAAGAAAAGAAGATCACGCAGCGGTTAGACTGGAATTTCTGTAAATGATTTATTGAATTTCTGCTGGATAATCACAGTAGATTTTAATGCAAAGGAAATGAAAATTGTCTCCTTGCTTATCTAAAATCATTTTATTTAAATCTGCCAGACTTTTATTTGTAGTTTTGCTGTTAACTTAAATGCATTTCTAAGAGGTAGTTTGTCAAACAAAATCAGAGTTGCTAAGTGGAGCTACGTGAAAGACCTGCTTTACTGTGCTTCAGTTTTTATTGGGCTTTACCCGGTAGAAACAACCCTCCCAAAGTGGAAGCTTTCAGGTTCATGCGGCCTTCCGTGTTTTTAGAGCTTCCATCTTCAGGAAGATGATCATTAAAAATCCCAGCTGAAGAAACAGCACACCGTCTCTTGTTACTGCCACCATGTCTATGCTCCAGTACTGTAACACACCTGCAAAGTAAATAAAGAAAACTCAGATAATCAGTGCGCAGCATCCCCACCCATGTCCTGTAATTTATATCACCTCCGCTCTTATATGGGATACGCTGAAATGGATCATGCTAAAGAAGAGGGTGCATCCCACTGATGACTAACCCACTCATCCATCAGCGTGCTACTACAGTTTTTAAACGTAACCACTACTTGGCATTTTTGATTCAACAGAAATGTAGCATAACCATCTGCACACTTTCATTCACAACACAGGCTGTGCATAAGTTTCACCCTCTGCGAGTCCTTTCACGCCTTGCACACAGTAACCAACAACACTCGCGTGCTGCTTGTAATCAATTTATAGCCACAGCATTATTGTTTCAAGTGTTTTTCTCTATAGCCGATACACTGTATTTGTAACAGTTTCATTGGAATACACATTTCAATAATCCTGCTCTTATTTTTAAATTAAATAATGTATTATATTTGAAAATTCATAACCAGTAATTAACACGATTCTGCTTCTGACTCTGGATATTCATGCAAACAAGCAAATGGCCCAGAATTGCATTTCCACTAATTGCAGCCCAGATGGCAGTGTTCTCCTCAGGTTGCAATGAAAACGTGACCTGATGTTCTGAATGCTCAAATCTTTTATGGTACAATTAAAAAAAAAACTCAACACAATTATGTGATATGTTGGAACAAAAATAATATACATTTGCACGCAAAGCAGATATTTATATTATCTGACAGTAGGCAGTGGTTTAAAGAAAAACATTTATGCAATTCCAGGTGCAGGGACATTTTGGAAATATCTGTCCTTTTTTATTTGCTGCCTCTGTGTAAAAATGTGGATCATGAATGTGCAGCTGAGTTGTGCTGACAAATTTTTTAAAAAAGAAACTAATTTTTAAAAAAAAATAGCAGATGCATTACAAATATTGAATTATACATTTAGTGGTAATTTGGAGCCTTAAATTTATTTATTTTTTTTAAATCCATGTAAGAAGGCTTCAAATGTGACATTAAGTGAAGTCAGATTCCCTGACACGTTGCCTGCAAAGACACTAGGAAGTCTGCAGCTACTTCAAAACATTTGTCAGTCACATTGTTGGAGCTCAAGCATCACAAGGCAGCTGTTAAGCAGACTCTAAAAATGTTAAGCTTCCAACAATGGGAGGCAGAAAATGTGAAGGGAAACAATTAAATTACGCCTTGCATGAAGTTTGCTTTTCATTTTGTGAGGCAAATTTAGTGCCATGGTTAATCACTATGCTGTTGAACACGATTTGCAAAAATATTCAAGAGCTTTATGTGCCTCAGTGCCCCTTCTGTATTGAAAAATAATGGGCCTCTATCCAATTAAAAACTGCATTAAATCTCTAAAGTATTACATGCACTTTACTGGTATCTCTCTGATTAGGCTTTTCTGCATGTGCAGATGCTGACAGCACACTGAGAAAGGGAGCTCTGACTGACTGCTCCCTTTTAAATCTAGTTCAGGAGCCCAGGATTTTTTCTGGATAATGAAGGTGTGTGCATGCATGAAAAATGTGCAATGAAAAAAAAGAGAGATATTTTTGCATCAAAATCACCAATCTGTAAGAAATTCTCTCTGAAGGCTCATCATTTTAAACATAAAACACGTGTACACACACAGAAAAATCACATTAACAGAAAATGAAAATCAGTCAATCTCACTGTCAACATTTCATCTTTCTCTATTTAAACTGCGCTGTCAAATTATCCGGTTTTGGGTTTTTGTGGACATTTTACCAAAAACAATATGATATCTGAACAAAAACCTCCATGAATGAGGATGAGGATGAATGCTCCTCATCTCAGTAATATCTTTTGGATTTGTTTGCATTCATCGCAGCCCTTCTGTTTTGATCCTCCCATC